CCCCCCCCCCCCCCCGACACCCACGAAAGAGGTTCCATACAACTGTCAATCTTATCCCCGCTCCCGATGGGCACAGACCCTCCTCGCGCACGGCACAACGTTAGCGCCAACACAACAACACATGTAGACCATGTTATAGTTACATCAAACAAAGTCTCCTCCTCATTCCTCAGATTTCCGAGGCCCGCCCCCTCATGAGCCTCCGACGCCCTGCCTGCGTACGACCCCCCCCGTCCTGCGCATTTTGCTGCTCCTGAGGCTCTCCTCTCGTGCGTAGGAGACAACCTGAGTGGTGCTAAGAATTTGGTGAATTTGTCGTGAGGCATCCCTCTCCTCTGGCCCCACCTCACCTTCCCCAAACAAAAGCGCACCCCCTACACCGGTCAGTCTGTGCTCTAGCGGCGTCTAGTACACTATACACGCCGGCAGTGATACCCACCCACCACCACATTAATGTATGTTATTAGCGACAAAGGGCTGCAGTGTTGCATGTAAGCATGTATGCAAATTGTACGTCGTGTAAGGGCTCCCTCACAGGTAGTCGATGTTCTTCCGCATCTTTTCTCCTCCTCTCATCCGCGCGCCCGACCCGCGTAAGAGAGGGGCTACGAGAGAGGGTGGCCCGAGAAAGTTTCCTTCCCTTTTGCCGGCACCCTCGTTTTGACCAGGGACTGAGTGGTCATGTATCATCGACCGAGATATGCGCAATAGTGGTGTGTTTTCAAGCATGAGCTCTCTAGCTATTGCAGCGATATTGTCTTCGTGATGCCGGCGGCGGCTCGTCAGACGAAATACGAAGCCCGAATATTGGGAGATGGTGGTCATGAATGATCAATAATAACAACAACGCAACGTGGACCCTCTGCAGGACAATTTCCTTGCGACCCAAAAACCAATCAGTATAACATGCATCCCGACAGAACCCAACCCGGCAATGCCAGTTTGCCACACCGCGAACAGATGCTTGCGGCACCGCTGACTGCCACCACGACATGATGATAATCGGCACGCCTCCTTGTCCATAGGCGACGTACCACCCCTCTGTCTTGATACGGTCAACGAGCAATGTTGGTATCGTCATCATCACCGTTCATGGGGATGGATGTGAGGGTCACGGATCTTGCTTGAGACGACAGCCATCATCATCAGTGTACAATAGCTCGCCATCCACCCCTCTCCGCCCGACATCTGGCAAGGACAAAAGCAAAGAAAGATAGCCGTACGTACGTACGTACGTACGTACGGCCCATCCGACAAACAAGTAGAATATACACAGCTTTGGCACGAACAGCAAACAACCCACACGATCCCCCCCATCCAACGCCCCAGATCTTCTGGTGCCCCTCGCGACAAAAAAAAACGCCATTTACTATCTGGGTAAATAAAGGCGGACAAGACACAGGCTACCTAACCGACGAGCAATCCTACCTCGAACACAGAAGTTATCTTCGGCAGTCCTTCGAGCCCGCTGAATGCAACATATATCATCATCATCGTCGTGCAGGATGAAACCAGTTCAATGTGTGCTTCCAGTTGAACCAACCGACCCGGCATTGTGCACATAACTCATAGACTATCACCAACATTCTCGTCTACTTGTTCCCCGTCCGCGACCCCCACCCCCCCTCACCCCCCGCGCAATAAAGTCCAATTCCAACATGACAAGGCAACCAATTCTCGTCGGCGTGTGTTTTCTGTGGCGAACGAACCGTAGGGAAAAGCCGACTTCCGTCGGCAACCAAACCAGCCGCCAAACTTCATCATTTGTCGTTCATACACATGCAACGCCTTTCGCGAAGACATACACGCCGAGTCGCGTCGCTCTCATATGCATAGCAATACATCATCAACACCGCCACCCCTCCCCCCTTCCCTGGTAGTGTACTCTACCCCGCACCGGGCTGGAAGAAGAGCCGCTTGCGGCGAAGTCCCATGTTGGTGTAAAAACAACTGACACAGGACAAGGCCGAGAGGGCAATTCCAGAGAACATGGACCGTGTACGTGCTTGTTCTCTTCGGCTTTGGGTCGCATCGAAAGGGTGCTCTTCGTTCCAGCCGACTGAACAAAACATATTTAGGACCGCACGCCCGCTGATACCTTTCTCACGTGGATACACATGCATGTGCATGCTGCATCGGAGAAGAAGCAGCAGTATCAGCAGAAGCAACACCACCTAACATGACCATCTACGTTCGCATCATATGGAAGTACATGGGCACAAAACCTTGCGCTCCCCACGTCATCCGTCGTATCATCAGTAGATGCGACACATTGGGGGGGAGTTCCATGATTCATGGCCCGTCGACCGGCAGCCCGCCGTTCGGCAAAAAAAGTAACAAAAACACAAATGAAACGAACAGCGCAAAGTACGCCTCCTTGTGCATGTGTGTGCAAAATGGTGCTTGTTTTCAGACCTGCCTCGATGGTGTGAGATCAATGTTGAAAGAAACGCGTTCCAATGATCCCTCGCCATGATCTGCGTGTAGGTCAGCATCATCACAGCAGCAGTGCCCTTTCATTCAGGTGCCGGAGGGGGGGGATCAGAAGTTCCCTGCGTTACCCCCCGACGATGCTTCCAAAAACAAAGCACGCTTGCTGTGTGCTCGACAACATCGCGGCGCTGCGTCCACTCAACTGTTGATGTCTTTGTTGTCGTCTTTTTTGGCAATGCGGTCAGCGCTGGAGACAAAAAGACAACAAAGCAGAGCCGTCTACAAGGTGCGGGGAATGATGGCCGCAAGGTCTATCCCCCCTGACCTCATCGCCAGCAACACACTCGAGCGGCAACGGTCTGGTCTGGGTGTCGGGCCTTGGTCGCAGAGGGCATCGCCAGTGCCACACGGCAAGGGTTATAACTATCATCCTCTCACATACAGCACCAGCGGCTACAGCAGTCGCCCTCGCCTGACCCCCACCCACCCCTTCTGACAACGAACCGACCACCGCCATCACCACGGGGGCCGAGCGGGTCGAAATACGACAAGGAGAGCGGGAACACCAAGAAAACGAACGAAACTGCCAGCGCGAGAAGCCAACAAACGCGCCTGTCTTTCGTGACCGAAAAGTTCCATCTTCTACTTTCATGAGAAACTTTCGTTTTTTGTTGTCATGTTCGTCATCTCATCATCGATACCGCGGGCGCTTCTTGTCGTCACCCCCGCCGCCCTCTTTTGAGGAGGAGGCGGGCCTCTCTCTGCCGTCGCCCTTCCCCCCACCCCCATCACCCTTGTCCCCCGCGTCCCTACCCTCCCGCTCGCCGCCTCGCCTGCTGCTGCCGCTGCTGCCCCGCTCCCCCCGGTCCGAATCTCGGTCCCTGTCCCGGTCCCTGTCTCTGTCCCTGTCTCGACGGTCAGACCGCCTGTCGCGATCCCCCCGGTGATCCCCTCCCCTGTCACGGTGGTGGTCTCTGCTATCTCGGTCGAAAGACGAGTACGGTCTGCCGCCCGGGCGGGTGCCCCTCGTGTCCTCCGGCACGTGGTTGATGTCGTGGATGAACCGACACGGGTCGTTCGAGCAGATCTGAAGGGGGG